ACCTGACCGGACGCGGGGACAGGAGGAGACTCAGTGGTCAGGGTGTAGAGGCTCGACCCCGGCCGACGCGAGAACGTGGCCAGGTGCCGGCCTGTGCGTGCGTCCGTGCAGTGGGTCACCCGCTGACTCGCAGGAGTGAACTGGTGAACCCCCGCATCCTGTAGGTCTGCACCACTCACCAAGTTCGTCGAGAACGAGGGGAGGTACAGGCCAGACAGGGTGCCCGAGGGGGCAGCCGGACACGGGAGGACAGTGGAGAAGTGAGCGAGGACAGGACCCCCAGAGGGGTCAGCCAGGGAGACTGCAACCGGCCGACCAAGCGGCGTGAGTGTGGTGCGGTCCCGAAAGAAGGAGCGAGAAGCCCCAGAGTCAAGTGTAAAGGTGAGGGAGGCCGAAGCCAACGCGGTACCTGAGAGCGCAGCCTCACCCGCACCTGAGGAAGCAGACTCACTAGCACCTAGAGCAGCAGCCGCACCTGTACCTGGAGCAGGAGACTCACTAGCACCCAGAGCAGCAGCCTCACCAGTAGCTAGAGCAGCAGGTCCTATACCTGGGTCAGGCGGGACGCACAGGTGACCTGCACGGTCAGCACTAGTAGGCCATGCATACATGGCAGTGAGAATAGCATCATAGTCAAGAGCATATATATCTACCCTCTGCCTAAGCAACTCCACCCAGTCGGGAAGCTCAGCCTCGTCGCCAAACACGGTACGCCAGGCGTCGCTCAAACGGGCGAAGCAGTGGGACGGTGTATGACTACGTGTCCCACAAGGCTGACCAGTCCGAGTACCAGTGCGAATCACGTAAGAGCAGCGAACAGCACTAAGAGACCCTCCACTCTGAGCGTACCACTCACGAAGCTGGCGAGGCGTGAGAGACACGCGAGAGGGTCGCGGGAGCTGCATCTGGCCGTCACCACGAGTAGAAGCAGCAGGAGTGGTAGTAGGAGTAGCGTCGCCACCCCTACAGCCCCAACTAGCGTACCACTCACGCAGCTGCTGCGGCGTGAGGGACTCACGCCGGCGTCGCTGGGGCTGCATTTGGCTCCGCAAGTAGAAGCAGGAGCAGGACTAGCAGCAGGGAGGCAGGCAGCCAGGCAAGCCAAAAGGCAGGCAGGCAGGCAAGCAGGCGACGCGCAGCGTGCTAGCAGGGCAAGAGCTCACCAGTGGTGGGAAGAGTAGGTTCGGCGACTCAGCGGCTCGGCAGCTCGGCGGCTCGGCGGCTCGGGCGACTCGGGCGGCTCGGCGGCAAGGCGGCTCAGCAGCAACTGCAGCTCAGTAGCTCGGTGACTCGGCGGCTCGGCGGCAGGGCGGCTCGGCAGCAACTGCAGCTCAGCAACTCAGCGACCCGGCGGCTCGGCGGCAGGGCGGCTCGGCTGTGGGGCGGCTCGGCTGCTGCAGTGGGAGATGAAGGAGGAGGAGAAGCAGGGGAGGCCACACACCTGCCACCCCTCTGCTGGCCTCTCAGGTCGCCTCGACAGGCGACGGGAAAAGGGGGGGTGGGTGGTGGGGGCCGGTAGGTGCAGCGGCGGGGCCAGCAGGTGCAGTTGCGGGGCCGGTAGAAGGGGACGGCAGGAGCCGTCAGGAGGGGACGGCGGGGCCGTCAGGAAGGGACGGCGGGGCCGTCACGAAGGGACGGCGGGGCCGTCAGGAGGTGACCGGGCCGCGACGGGGGCAGGCGGCGGGGCCGCGTAAGGGCCTGGGCGGGGCCGCGACAGAGCCGTCGGCGGGGCCGCGTGAAAGCCGGGGCGGGGCCGCGTAGAAGCCGGGGCGGGGCCGCGCAAGAGCAGGCGGCGGGGCCGCGAAGGAGCCGAGGCGGGGCCGCGTGAGAGCAGGCGGCGGAGCCGCGTAAGGGCCTGGGCGGGGCCGCGACAAAGCCGTCGGCGGGGCCGCGTGAAAGCCGGGGCGGGGCCGCGTAGAAGCCGGGGCGGGGCCGCGCGAGAGCAGGCGGCGGGGCCGCGACAGAGAGGGCGGCGGGGCCGCGTCAGTGAAGGCGGCGGGGCCGCAGGGGAAATGGCGACCCGAGGGGTTGCGAAAAAAAAAGATCGCGCCTCGAGGGGCGCTTCGGTGGGCCCAAAAAAACGGTCCGTAGAAGGACCCGCTCTATACCATGTGAGAATAAGCGAACAGGAATGAATGAAACTAGCAGTGAAATGAGTACAAGTAGGAAACCCTAGAATTGTGTACCCCCTATAGGCTAACCCACTGTAGCCTACACAAGCATAACATATATAATGTTTGACACTAAGCAGGCCCTCAGATATCAGCGTAAAACACGCTGATTACGCTGATTTTGTAGCTGTGATTTTCGTTTTCCCTGAAAATTCAGCATATGCCTCAATTTTGCACTGAAATTTCAGTATAACCTACGTTGCCACACTGACCATTTTGCGTGTTGCTGTACAAGTAACACTGATGAATCAGTATAGTGACGTGAGTCACACTGAAACGGAGTTGACCGCGCATGTGTGTGTGGGGGGGGGGGGGGAGGGGGGATGATAGGGTACGCGTGTCCTATCTGTACCTTCCCGTGATTCCTGACACCCCACCCACACGCTTGGCATTTTTTCGCATGCACTGCACAGATATCAGGTGCGCGCCACTGGAACCTATCACAGCAACAACACCACACACCTTGTACTGGGGTTTCAGCTATAGTTTTTTGTTTCTACACTGTTGGTTGAGTTTACTTATGATTTTTACACTAGCAAAATCAGTATAAAAAAAACAGTGAACGCTGATTTGGACACCTCATTGGCCAAGGCACGCTGATCCATCAGCATACCCTCAAACCAATCTGAGGGCCTGCATCTAAGTTTCGAACTGAAATACCGTATACTCCCGGACAAAACACCCCCCCATAATTGTACACCCACGGGTAGCTTGTGCGGGGTGGGTGTTATGATAGACCTCGTTTCTACTATACCCCCATTTTTGGCTGATTTTCTATAACACCCCCCTTTTCTTACATATTCATTATTATAGTCGTTAACGAGTAGCTGCAATACGGAAGAATATCGTGTGAATTTCTCCCTCAAGGAAATTTCGCGGTACATCCAAAGGCAATCTGCCGAGATTTGCCCCCTCCCACTATTTCTCTCTTGCCACGTGCAGGTGAATCTTCCGTTGCAAGTGGCAAGAGAGGTGCCACATGGCATTTTCGTGAGGGCGATGAAGTTCGAGGCCGAAACTCACATTCGCGCCTCAGGCAGTGATGCTAAAAGGACCAGCAAAACACCCACATTGACTAATTAAAAAAACACTAACACTAAAATATGCCATATGTAAAGACCCGGGTATTATGCATTTTTTTCCTATGAGGAGACCCCCCCCCCATTTTTTCCCTGTATTTTTAGCTATACCCTAGGGTGTTATGTCCGGGAGAATACGGTAGTCGAAAACGTGCAGGGAAACTTTGAAACGCGAGATTAGTGGGCTGGGTTTCCCCTTGAAAATAGCGGTGGTTAGGTGTATCTCCGCCTGATCCGAAGCAGATATGAAGTGTGCCTGGTCGAAATTCGCTGTACAATTGATGCCTGTTTGAGCCCCTCCGGGTTGCCTTGTGAAGGGGGCGTATAAGCTGTAACGAGCATTTCGCATAATTTTCGTCAATTCGCAGCTAGCTAAAAAGGATTCGCAGGTGCTTATAACCAAGATCTGTTACCTTATTTGACTTCAGTCTCTTCTGCTTGACCTCAGTCTGTTCGTTACTATTGGTTGATAACCACGCGACGCGCTTTTAGCGTGGGAGCAACAGGCTGGGGAAACAACCTCGGGTGCAGCGTTTCCATCCGGCGCAAGGCAAATCCGCGTGCACTGGTTGGGCATCAATTGTAATTCGCGAAGATGGTACTGTAGAACCAGTACATTTGCGACGTCGGAATTATCTTGAGCCCGCGTGCAGCTTTTGATGTAGGCGCCTATAATCAGTCTCAGAAGGATATCTAAGCGCATGCAAAATCAAAGATATTTCTTATACGTTACATGCTGTTGTATTTGTTTGAAATTTTGTCCAGCAATATATAATCATGGTACCTTACAAGGACTATTGCAAGCTCCTTCCTGTAGTAATATTCATTCGATTTCCGCAGCATTCCTTACGGGTTTGGTAACACCTCCCTACTGGTTCGGGTAGGATGATGTGAGAATAGAGTGATTAACACTTGTCAATCCACAACCACTGATTAAATCCAGCAAAGCAAGATAGCTCAACATTGTGCCAGACAATCAAACCCATTATTACTAGTGAATCTACCATTCTCCGTTGCAGAGTCTGTCACAGCTCCTATGAATGCAGCAAATTAAGAGTGTATTTCTACAACTCTTTGTCCAGGGCATTAACCCGTTCCTCCAGCTCCTTAGCCTTCTTGTCCAGAGTGGCGATGCGTGCAGCTGTCCACGCCAGAGGAGAGAGAAAACGCACGCATGAGAGGGACGGGGAGGAGAAAGAATGCGCACGCATGATAGGGATGGGGGAGGGTTACAGGATCGGCTGTGAGATGACTACATAAGCAACTTGGCAGGTAGCATGGGTGTGATGTGAGAGGCGATTTGTGAGGTGGTTAAAAAACAGGGACGGAGGAGGGTTACAGGATGGGCTGTGAGATGACAACCCAAGCAACTTGGCATTGGCAGGTAGCATGGGTGAGTGAGGGAGATGGTGCGAGAGAGATGGCTTTTGAGTCGACTCAACAGTAGCGATGCATGCAGCTGTCCACGCCAAAGGAGAAAGAACATGCACGCATCGCTACTGCATGATAGCGACGGGGGAGGGTTACAGGACAGGCTGTGAGAGTGAGATGGCAACCCAAGCAACCTGGCAGGTAGCATGGGTGTGAGTGAGGGAGATGGTGGGAGGGAGATGGTGCGAGGGAGATGGTGTGAGGGAGATGGTGTGATGGAGATGATCGTGTGAGGGAGATGGTGTGAGGGAGATGGTGTGAGAGAGATAGCAAGGCAACCTGCACAGAGATAGCAAGGCCGCGAGGGAGACAATTAGCGTTACTGTGCGGAGTGAGGGAAAACATGCACTTGTGATTGTGCAGCAAGAGTGAGGTCCGGACTGAGTGCAGCAAGAGTGAGGTCCGGACTGAGTGCAGCAAGAGTGAGGTCCGGACTGAGTGCAGCAAGAGTGAGGTCCGGACTGAGTGCAGCAAGAGTGAGGTCCGGACTGAGTGCAGCAAGAGTGAGGTCCGGACTGAGTGCAGCAAGAGTGAGGTCCGGACTGAGTGCAGCAAGAGTGAGGTCCGGACTGAGTGCAGCAAGAGTGAGGTCCGGACTGAGTGCAGCAAGAGTGAGGTCCGGACTGAGTGCAGCAAGAGTGAGGTCCGGACTGAGTGCAGCAAGAGTGAGGTCCGGACTGAGTGCAGCAAGAGTGAGGTCCGGACTGAGTGCAGCAAGAGTGAGGTCCGGACTGAGTGCAGCAAGAGTGAGGTCCGGACTGAGTGCAGCAAGAGTGAGGTCCGGACTGAGTGCAGCAAGAGTGAGGTCCGGACTGAGTGCAGCAAGAGTGAGGTCCGGACTGAGTGCAGCAAGAGTGAGGTCCGGACTGAGTGCAGCAAGAGTGAGGTCCGGACTGAGTGCAGCAAGAGTGAGGTCCGGACTGAGTGCAGCAAGAGTGAGGTCCGGACTGAGTGCAGCAAGAGTGAGGTCCGGACTGAGTGCAGCAAGAGTGAGGTCCGGACTGAGTGCAGCAAGAGTGAGGTCCGGACTGAGTGCAGCAAGAGTGAGGTCCGGACTGAGTGCAGCAAGAGTGAGGTCCGGACTGAGTGCAGCAAGAGTGAGGTCCGGACTGAGTGCAGCAAGAGTGAGGTCCGGACTGAGTGCAGCAAGAGTGAGGTCCGGACTGAGTGCAGCAAGAGTGAGGTCCGGACTGAGTGCAGCAAGAGTGAGGTCCGGACTGAGTGCAGCAAGAGTGAGGTCCGGACTGAGTGCAGCAAGAGTGAGGTCCGGACTGAGTGCAGCAAGAGTGAGGTCCGGACTGAGTGCAGCAAGAGTGAGGTCCGGACTGAGTGCAGCAAGAGTGAGGTCCGGACTGAGTGCAGCAAGAGTGAGGTCCGGACTGAGTGCAGCAAGAGTGAGGTCCGGACTGAGTGCAGCAAGAGTGAGGTCCGGACTGAGTGCAGCAAGAGTGAGGTCCGGACTGAGTGCAGCAAGAGTGAGGTCCGGACTGAGTGCAGCAAGAGTGAGGTCCGGACTGAGTGCAGCAAGAGTGAGGTCCGGACCTTAGTTCAGAAAGACGCGTCCTGCGTCCTGGACGCATGCGTCCAGACGCATGCGTCCAGACGCAGGACGCTGAACCTGGACCTGTAAGACGCACCAAAAGACGCAAGCCCGGGCAGGGCAAAAAAAACCCCCGGGCAGGCCAAAAAAAGTTGTATAGGGCTTGGAGAGGGGGGGGGGGGGGAGGGGCATACCACAAAATTTTCCCAAACAACAAGATTTTCCCCCAAAATATGAGTTTAAGGTGAGTCACGTGTCACACATTTCACAAGGTCTCACACACATTACGTTTAATCCAACCACTACCGACCACGCATACTCCTCAACTACCAGTGCACTGCATCAAGTCAACCATCACGCATCCCCATCATCCTCGCTCTCCTTCTCCTCCTCTTCGTCCATCGCTTCCTGGTCCTTGTACTCGTCGACTGCCGGGTCGTCCTCGTCCACCTCCCTCTCCCCGTCCTCCTCCAACTTGTATCCCTCGGGGAGGGGAGGGGTGGGAATGTTACCCTCCACCACCCCCGCCCTCCTCACTCCCCCACTTGGCCCTGCTCCACCAGCTGCGGCCTGGTGGTGGCCGTGCACAACCGGCCAGTTGTGCGCCACGAACACTAGGTCGCGCACCTTCTCCGACCCAAGCCTGTTCCTGCGCGCCGTGTGCACCCCATCCCACACAGACCATCCCCGCTCGCATGGAGAGGCGGAAACGGCCTGTGACACAGCACGCTGCGCAAGGCCTGCCAGTTCAGGGTACTCCCAGCCATTCACCTTCCACCACGCCGCCATGTCCCCCTTCCCCTCTTTCAGCTGCGCACGGCCCGCTACCGCCTCCTCCGACCCAAACCCCCCCTTGCCCTCAATGTACGCCAGCATCCCCTCCTGCAGCGCCAACATCGTTCCCTCCCGCTCGCCGTCCTTCTTCCAATACTTGTCGACGAAGACCCTCGAGCGTTGCAGCCACGCCTTCATCACCCTGGTGCACTCCCTGTCCTTAAGGTATATCCCCTCCTCCTGGTTGACCGGGTTAAGAATCCGGCCTACCACGTGAAGAGGGCAGGCCAGACTCTCATCCCATCGCCTCCTCAAATGCTCCAGCAAATCCTCCTTCTCCGACTCCTTAAGCTTACAATCCGCCCTCTCCAACAGCTCCGTCAGGTCCACCGTCAGCTGCAGCATCATGTCGTACAATGCTCCCATCTTCCCCTTCGCTGGCCCATCCGTCTTCCTCATCAACTTGTACGGCAGCTCCATCACCATGACGAAGGTGTCCACCTTGCCCCACCACTCCACATCCATCACCGCCTTCTCAAAAGTAGTTCCAGTCTGCTGCTTCCTCCCCTTCTCGGCCCAGTCCGTGTGCGTCACCATGTTCACCAGGTGCTGGCGAATCTCCTTAAGGCGGGAAACGGCAATGTACTGCGTCCCAAAGCGTGTGCCCGCCGGTCGCAGCGGCTGCAGCGACTTCTTCTCGCCGTGCAGCTCGGGACACCGGAGGAAGGCACGCGTCCACGTGTGGCTGCGCAGGAACGTGATCATGTCGGTGGCAACTGACACGACCTCCTGCGCCCAATCCATGCCGCCGAAGTCCTCCAACAGCAGGTCGAGCACGTGGGTGGCGCAGGGGACGAACTCCAAGTGCGGGTACTTCTTCTGCAGCAGCTTGCCGGCGGACACGTAGTTGCTGCCGCCGTCCGTGCAAATCGCGACGACGTGCTCCGGTCCAAGCTTCTCGATCAGCGGCTGCAGGACGCTCACGATGAACGCCCCAGTCTTGGTCTCCGCCTTGCAGTCGAACGCCTCCTGGAAAACCGCTCCACTGGCGTTGATGAAGACGACGTTCATCTGCGCGCGCCCGCTCTTGTCCTTCATCATATCGCTCGCGATCGTCACGCCGGTCTCCTTCCACGACTTCGTAATGGGCGACAAACCCTTCTCAATCTGCTGCTTGCACGCCAGCAACCCGGCGCCTCCAACGTAGCCCACCTTGGGCGGAACGTAGCCGGCACCGGCGGCGCTAACGGCGCGCAACATGTTGAGGAAGAGGGGGTGCTCGCTAATGACCTCCGCCGAGCGCGTCCCCGCGACGAAGAGGCAAATCGCATCGTCAGCCGCACGCTTCGCCGACATCCCCCCCTCGCCATACCAATGCTCCATCCGCCCCTTCTTTGCCTTCGGACCCGCTCCGCCTTGGCCGCCCACCGACGTGAGCGCCTCCTCCATAGCCCTCTCCTTATCTTTACGCGCCGTCTTCTTCGTTTCCTTCGTGTTGCGAATGGCGTCGGAAACGCGCTTAGGAACATCCGCGCACACAACTCCACCATCGCGCCGCACGTTCGCGTCATCCCAAACGGCGAGATGCTGAGTGCATCGGCTACTACTAAGAGCAAACGTTTTTCCGCACCAAAGGCACTCACACTGCTTCCCTAGCTTGGCGGGATCATCGAACGTCCAAAAATGCCTATAAATATTGTGATCGGGTTTATACGGTTTTTTCTCCACCCCTTCCTTAGTGTAACGCTGGGGGGGAATGTCTACGGCGGCATCAGAAAAACTCCTAGACGCGGTGGAAGAAGAAGGAATGCTCGAGGAAGCCATAGCGGAGTTTAGGTGGTAAGCTATGCTAAATGTGTTTGTTGGTGGAGGCCCACCAAGGTTGGGATTTCTAGATGCTAAGGGGTTGAGAGGTTTGAGTGAAATTCAAAATTTGTTGAGTTGTTAGGGAATGTTAGGGGGGCTGGTTTAGAATGTCGAATTGGGCTTAGGGGTGGGAAATTTCGCGATTTCGACACTCGCGCCGAAATCGCGAATGCCAAAAACGCGATCCGGAAAAAAAATAAATTTCGGGCAGCCCGAAAAAAATTTCGAGGAGCGTCCTGCGTCCGGACGCGCGTCCTGCGTCCTAGCGTCCGGACGCAGCGTCCGGACGCAGGACGCTGCGTCCCTCCAGCGTCTTTCCGAACTAAGGTCCGGACTGAGTGCAGCAAGAGTGAGGTCCGGACTGAGTGCAGCAAGAGTGAGGTCCGGACTGAGTGCAGCAAGAGTGAGGTCCGGACTGAGTGCAGCAAGAGTGAGGTCCGGACTGAGTGCAGCAAGAGTGAGGTCCGGACTGAGTGCAGCAAGAGTGAGGTCCGGACTGAGTGCAGCAAGAGTGAGGTCCGGACTGAGTGCAGCAAGAGTGAGGTCCGGACTGAGTGCAGCAAGAGTGAGGTCCGGACTGAGTGCAGCAAGAGTGAGGTCCGGACTGAGTGCAGCAAGAGTGAGGTCCGGACTGAGTGCAGCAAGAGTGAGGTCCGGACTGAGTGCAGCAAGAGTGAGGTCCGGACTGAGTGCAGCAAGAGTGAGGTCCGGACTGAGTGCAGCATCTCGCTACAAAGAAAGGGGAAGCATAGGGGAGAGGGGGGGCGCCTTCAGAGACGTCTCAGAATAGTGCAGCAAGAGTGAGGTCCGGACTGATTTCAGCATCTCGCTATGGGGATGAGGGGAAGCTTTGAGGAGAGGGGGCTTTGAGGAGAAGAGTGAACTGTTGTAAGGGGGCGGGAGCAGGAGCAGGAGCAGGAGCAGGAGCAGGAGCAGGAGCAGGAGCAGGAGCAGGAGCAGGAGCAGGAGCAGGAGCAGGAGCAGGAGCAGGAGCAGGAGCAGGAGCAGGAGCAGGAGCAGGAGCAGGAGCAGGAGCAGGAGCAGAAGCAGGAGCAGGAGCAGAAGCAGGAGCAGGGGTTAGAATCATACTGAGTTCAGCCTTGTCGTTATGCAGGTGAGGGGAGTGTGGGGGAGATAGGGAGTGGGTCTGTGGGGGCCTGTGGGTGACATACTGGTCTCACTCTTCTCCTTGTGCCATGCCTGCTTGTCCTGATCAACCTTCTCCTTGCACCCAAACATTGTGCCGCGCCCCTTGTGCGCCGCCTCCTCCGTCTCATTCGCCTTATTCAGTGTGACACATATAACGAGGAAACTTGAGAACCAGTTCAAGACAGGAAGAGAAGGCCTTACTGATTTCACTCTTCTCGTTCTGCCACGCCTCCTTGTCCTGGTCGACCTTCTCCTTGCACTCAAACATCCTGTCCCGCCCCTTGTGCGCCGCCTCCTCCGTCGCATTCGCCTTGATCTCCATCGCCTCCTTCCGCTCCGCCGCAACCTTCTCCACCGCTCTGCACTCCTCCAGATCTTTTTTCTCCCGCCAGCACTCGCCTTTACCGGTAGCGGCGGCGGCGGTGGTGGTGTGGAGAGGCGTGGTTAGGGCGATGGCGAGGAGGAGAAGGAGGAGGAGGCAGGTGGGAGGGAGCGAGGCCCTCATTCTGGCGATCGTTGCAACCATTCGTCCCAACGACCTGACACGGGAAAGAGGAAGGAAGAAAGGGTTTTGAGACGGCTCAAAACACTTCTTCATACAGGTGGGACGGAGCGAGGCCCTCATTGTGGCGATCGTTGCAATCGTTCGTTTCAGCAACCTGACACGGGAAAGAGGAAGGAAGAAAGGGTTTTGAGACGTCTCAAAACACTTCTTCATACAGGTGGGAGGGAGCGAGGCCCTCATTGTGGCGATCGTTGCAATCGTTCGTTTCAGCAACCTGACACGGGAAAGAGGAAGGAAGGAAGGGAGATGGAGGGACGGGGACGATGTTGTGACGCTCGTGTTGATCGATCTGACGTGGAAACGCGGAAAGAGCGGAAGGAATGGAGAGTGCGGGTGTGTGGTGGGGAGGAGGGGAGGGAGGGGTGGTGGTGGGCGGAATGGAAGCGAAGCACTTTGGAGAGGGCCCCGGCCGGAAATCGGTGTGAAGAGCGGGGAGAGCGGGGAGAGCGGGAAGAGCGGAGAGAGCGGGAAGAGCGGGGAGAACGGGGAAGTGCGGGGAAAACGGGAAGTGCGGGGAGAACCGGAAGTGCGGGGAGAGCGGGCGTAAGGGTTCCATATAGCATCATCCGTTATGACTGCCCTCTTTCAGTCCATCGGTAAGCTGCCTGGACTCTGGAAGCGACAAGCAGATTTGCGCGAGAAACGGTGAGTTTTGAAGAGACGAAAGGACGGGAAAGCCGCATCATGCGGCGGCGAGCATTGGATCGTCGCGGCGGCGATTGAAAAAGAATAGCCACGTGATAAAAGTGCTGCTTCGAGACGCCTCAAAACAACGCTTATTTCATTCGGCGGCGAGCCGCATTGGATCGTCGCGGCAACTGAAAAGCGGGACGAAGCGAAACGGGACGCGAGAAGAGTTTTGAGACGCCTCAAACACGGCGACGAAGCGAACGTCACGGTCCCGGGACGTGAGACGGCCGGAGTGAAGCGGCGATGGACAGCAGGTGACGCCGTGAGTGCGGGAGTGGTGGGTGAGTGCAGCAAGAGGAGAATCAACAAAAATGAAGCGATAATGATTAGTACCTCCCACGGAGATATTGAGGCGAATTTGAGGCGAATCAACAAAAATGAAGTGATGGGGAGAAAATTGACGGGAACGGTGGGCGCGCGCGTTAAGAGGAGGAGGGCACCTGTAACGAAGGGTGACAGTGAGCAATGCCGCGAAGCCGCAAAAGGCTTGAGGCGTCCCGCTAGCGATGACGGTAATCGGCGCGGCGAGTAGCGAAGAGTGGCTGGAATGGAAAGGAAGGAGTAATGTGCGCTGGCTGCGCTGATGCCTGAAAATGAGGCACTCCCTTCAGCTACATAAGATCCCTCGAGAACATGCGTGGCTGTGGTGGTGAGGTATTCGCGGTAATCTCGGTCTTGACTTGACTGGTTGACTAGAGGTGTGCGAGGGAGGAAGATAGGGGTTAGGATGGGTGTGTGTAGGGAACGGAGTGGTGAACCGAAATCCGCGTTACATAAGCAGCTCGATACGCGTTGTGGAAGGTTCTAGTAGTCGCGGCGTGCTGTACATTTCACTGTGCAAAGCCACCACGAACTGAACTGGACCAAACTCACCCCCACCTTGAGAAAGTCGCGAAACTGGCGACGAAGACGAAAACGGTAACACGAATTTGTGTCAAATGCCAAATTTCTCAATACTGAACCCTCCTTGGCCCCCAAAACCCCTCATACTGTGTCACAATTTTGAAAGCCAGGAACCTTATCCATTCAATAGTTTCGCGTCGCCTGCATCCGTCGAATCCGGCGTTTCGCCAACGGCCTTCCGCGACCTTCGTTCCTCTCGTTAGCCCCTCAGCGGAATCAATCTCCACGTGGCACCAGTTCACCGGAAGATTTCCCAAAATGGCGCCCGCGGCTGACTCCGCTCCGCCAAGGAGCACTCCCGCGCAGCCGTCTGATGCGCAAGCCTCCGCCGCTGCGGCGGAGCCCCCGCCCGCGGATTCCCCGCCTCCACGGATTCAAACCCTAGAGGACTTTGTAAAAGTTCACGAAATGTTGTTACTCGCGACAGGGTTACCTCGCGAGCTCTACCCGCGACTGTTCGAGAAGATCATGGCGGAAAGATTCGATGCGGGCAGCAGATTCGCGATCGAGGAGGTGGAGGGCGGGCGGCAGAGGCGCGTCGTGCTGACACCTGGCGGGCAGGGATTGGACGCGCAGGGTGACGTGTTTTTGGTGGACCACGCGTGGTCGTTCCGATTGGGCCAGGCGCGCGAGCAGGCACGACTTGGGGGGGGGGGAGTGTGGAGGGGGGAGGGGAGGGGGGGAAGCGGGGGGGGAAGGCGGGCATGAACGCGAGCCGGCACGTGTGGGGAAAGAGTGTTGTGGGGGGAGTGGGGAGCGTGCGGGAGTCACATCACATATGATAATTCGCGAAAAGCAGGGGGGATGGATGGCAGCGCGGATGGCGGATCTCATGTGATGCTGCGCATACCCCCCCCCCCCCCCCTCCCCTCACCCGGGACCCCACACATTCCAGCTTCTTCCCCCCATCCCTTCCCCCACTTCTCCTCCCCTCCTCTCGCAGCTGGAGAGCCTTGATCCACCCGCCCCTTCCCCCTGGGACCCCGCATCACACAATCCCCCACACTCCCCCATCTCCCCCATCCCTTCCCCTCATTCTTCCCCCTCCTGCCGCAGCTGGAGAGCCTCCCCAAGCTGGCGGCGCGGATGGCGGCTCTCATGCGCCGCTGCTCCTTTTCTTCTCCCTCTGACCCACTCCCCCCATCCCTTCCTCCACTTCTCTCCCCCCACTCTTCTCGCAGCTGGAGAACCTCCCCAAGCTGGCGGCGCGGATGGCGGCTCTCATGTGCGTTGGGGGGGAGGACGAGGGGGAGGAAGAGGGGGAGGGTGAAGGGGAAGGGGAGGGGGAGGGGGAAGGGGAGGTGGGAGGAAATGGAGAGGGGAAAACTGTAGGCGCAGAGAAGGCTGAGGAAGAAAGCAAGGGCGGAAAGTCCGTCGATGAAATCATCTCACGGGCAGTTCGGGCGGCTGTGGACGCACGAATCCCGGGAACAGATGGGACAACGGGACGTGGAGAGGCGGAGGGAGGGGCGGAGGGGCAGGTGGAGAGCGGTGTGGAGTGGTTGGAGATGGACGGGGAGGGGATTGATGATGCCATGCTTGCTGCTATGAACCTGCACGAGCGCTTCCCTGTGAGTCCCACTAACGAGGCTGCCTATAGAGGGTACAGTGAAGGGGGTTTTGTTTCAACAGAGTGTCGCTTGTCGCTCTGTGTTCTTTTTGCACTACAGTCAGCCTGCACTGTTGTCGGTCACTGTCGCTGCCGCTGCCACTGTCGCGGTCGCACACTCATCTACCTGTCAAGTCTCTGTCTTGACCTACCTAGTTCCGTTGATCCTCACCTCATCGTTAGAATTCAGTATCGAGGATATAAGACGAATCTCCCATAACAGCAACAGCAGCAGCAACAGCAGCAGCAGCAGCAGCAGCGGCAGCGGCGGCGGCGGCGGCGGCGGCGGCGGCGGCGGCGGCGGCGGCGGCAGCAGCAGCAGCAGCAGCAGCAGCAGCAGCAGGCCTAGCAAAGCTCACGCTCTTAGGTCTGCGGGGCAACAATAACGCCTGCGAGCCTAAGTTGGTCATTTACGCCATTTCAGCCCACGTACACGTAACGTACGCGTACATGTACGTTTACGTGTACGTACGCGTACGTACGTGTACGTACGCCGGGCAGGTCAGGAAAAAAAATATGCGTTGAAATTTCTTTGAAAACGGTTTCCGAAAAAACTAAAAAAGAAAAAATCTTTCGACGACCTGTGCTCTGTTAGCGTGTTAGCAAAACGGCGCGACGTTTTTCAAAGTAGTAATGTAAGAAACAGGAAGGTTGCTAGCTAGGGTCGCTATGGTGTGGCGACTACCCTACGTACTATGTCGACTAAGGCGGCAGAACTACGATAGCTAAGTCTGTCGAGAGAGGGAGGGAGGAAATTGTGGTGGGAGTAGATTTGAATGTGTGCAAACTGTTCGCGATAGAACATTGCGAACAGTTTGACTCAGATTGCGATTGCTTCGTTTGCAAGGTAAGCGAATGTCACCCGCTCGGTAGTTTCGTCACCGCCGAGGTTCACTGGTTTCGGCGAATCCCAACTTCGAGTCAAACCAATTCGCCGAGTCAAATCTAAATCTACACTACATGATGGAATTTTTACACTGTATGATGGAAATTATGATTACGAGGGAAAAGTATAGAGAAAATAAACATATCCGGGCAGCCCAGAAATTTTTTCACCTGCCCGTAAATTAGGCCTCCAACCCAACAGCCGCGTAAACGTACGTACCCGTACACGTACGTACGTAAACGTAAACGTAAATGACCAACTAAGCTGCGAGCCTATCTACCCGCAGGCAGACCAGGTCTGACCAGGTCGGAACTTGAACCTGCCTATCTGTGGTGTTGGACAAACGGCTCCCCTCTCTTTGCTCGCACTTTCCTGTTTCCGTGACGGACGTTTTTTGAGACGTTTCACGAATCAGCCTTTGGGGCGACTAAGTCACATCCTCACGTTAACATAGTCTTAATCTTCCCGCTATTGTCGCAATTCCACTTCACACTATTACCCCGTATCACCCTTCCCAACTCCCTCACCACCAGAACCTGGTGGGTCTGAGCCTCTGGGGTAACCGCCTCACGGACGCTGCTCGAGTGGCCTCCCTGCTCTCTCCTCTCACCTCCCTGCATGCGCTCTGGCTCAACGACAACCCGTGTGCTGCCACCGAGTGAGTAAGATGGGAGTGCTTTCACATGCGTGACTCATGTTGCGGTCGTAGAGAGAAAGGTTCTCCGGTCACCCCCCTCCTCGCGCTCCCTGCATGCCTGCCCATGCACTCTGTTCTGAGAGATTTATTTGCTCCTCCTCACTTCCTACCCTCTCTCCCCTCCTCTCCTGCATGCTCTAACATGCCCGCTGCTCCTACTCTAAACTAAAAAACACTCTCCTCCCTCCCGCCCAAGAACGATTCACCTGCCAATGAATCCTCCCCTTCATCCGCCGCAGTACAATGTGGGCGCTGCACTCACTCACAATGTCATCCCTGCTACATTCCTTCCGTCTGACCCCCCTCCTCACCTCCACCGTCCTCTCACCCGTGCTCTTACTCACAGGTCCGCTGCTGCTGCTCTGAGAAACGCTCTCCCTGGATCCCTCCTCAGTAGCTGAACCTACTCACACTGCTGCTGCCACTCGCCTCCTTCTTCCCTCTTCCTCTCCTACACTACACTACCCCGCCATCCCTTGCGTCCCCCCATGCCGCCGCAGGTCCGCCGCTGCTGATCTGAGAAACGCCCTCCTTGAGTCTCTCCCCAATCTCGAGCTGTTCAACCGCCACTTCACCCGCCGCTATTCCACCTGGGCGCTGCTCTTCGCTGCTGATGTGGTGGGCCCTAACCGTGCCACGTTGGACGATGACGTGGCGGCTGCTGAGCTGGCGCGGTTGACTGAAGTTGACTTGTCTGACCGGGGGATCGTGGAGCTAAAGCAAGAGGTGTGACTGATTGGGATGAGATGAGACGGGTTCAAAGCATGGAAATAAGGGCGGACGAGGTTTGACTTGGGCTGATGTGAGTTGAATTGGGTTGACACACCGCTATCTCCCTCTCTTCCCATTCCTCCTCTTCACCTTCCCATTCCCCTTCCCATGTACCTGCCACTCTCCCTGCTTCTCTAAATGTCATCTCCTCCTCTATACACTCCTCCCAGCCCTCTCACTCACAACAACCGCTTGCCCAAACAGCCCCCATTTGCCTCCCTTGCCTGCTTGCTTTCACTCCTCTCAAAACCCGTCCCCATGTTTCCCTCTTCCTTATCCCTGCCCCTCTCCCACATTTTCTTCTCTGCTATTCGTTGACTCTACAGGTCTTCTCCCCATCGTTCCTCCCTGCCCTCGCCCATATCAACCTCTCTCACAACCCGCTCCCACTCTCCCCACTCGCCCCCATCGACGCCTCTCGAGCCTCTGTGCTGCTGCCCCTCGCCTTGCTTCCCTCGCTGCGCTCTCTGCAAGTAAGTGCGGTGTTAATGGGTGCTGGTGGAACCTGCTGGGCACGGCTGGGTTCCGATGGGTGCTGCTCTGTGCTGATGGGTGCAAGTGAATTGAGCTGTGCATTACTGCTCCTCGTCTCGCTTCCCTCGCTGCGCTCTCTGCGCATGTAAGTGTGGTGCTGCTTGGTACTGGTGGGTGCAAACAAGGTCAGGTGTACATTGGTGGGCTCCGATAGCTTCCGTAATCTCTCCGCTTCACGCTGTCTGCTTCTGTTCAGCTTATTGCTGCGTTGAAATCACTTCTGAAATTTCTTGAAGGTGATTTCAGTAGTCTTGCCTCGTCATGCTGCTCTCTGGTTCTGTTCAGCTTATTGCTGCTGCCCCTCACCTCACCTCTCCACGAGCCCCTTCCACTTTCCCCTTGCATGTGCCCCTTTTCAAAACTACCTCCCGCACCTCTACTTCCACCCACCCAGCTGGGCCTAGAAGGCTCCTCTATCTTTGATCTGTGTCACACAGCATCCTCTCCTCCCCGCTCTCTCTCCTCGCAGCATCCTCTCCTCCCCGCTGTCTCTCCTCCCTCAACGTCACCTCCTCTTGCCGCGTGGCTTCCCTTCCTTCTGCGCGCTTCCCCATTGGATCTGGAAGGAGTTCTTCCCTTTGTTTTTCTTCCTCATCGTTCTCCGCTTTGACCCTGATCAAGCAGCTCTAACTTTCGCCCCGCCCACCTCGCTTTCCATTTCCACCACCCCTTCCCCCACCACTCCTCGTTTGCCCTGTCATTCCCAGGTGGACCTGGAAGGCCCCTTCCCCTTCGACCCATATGATGCAGCTTCAACTCTCCCCCGCCTCTCCTCCCTCAATGGCGCTCCGCTTCCCTCCTTTATGCGCGGAGGTTCCTGGATGTTTCCTCGCCTGCCAGCCTGGCAGCCTGGCACGCCATTGGTGGATCGAGTGCTGCTTGCCATGTGGCGCCACGTGTGCAGCTACAAGCTCGCTACTGAAACACAGCTGGACGAGAGTGCTGTGTGGTGAGTGGGTATGCATTGCACCACACTGCACCACACTGCATCGCACTGCACCACATTGCACTGCATTTAGTCCGTCGCTCTGAGTGATGGATCACTGACTAGGAATGCTGGGTGCTGTATGGCATGTGGCACCACATGTGCTGCTACAAGCTCGCCACAGAAACTCAATTGGACGAGCCACGAGACACGAGACACGAGCCACGAGACACGAGCCACGAGACACGAGAGTGCAGTGTGGCGAGTCTTGAGACGTCTCAAAACTCAACTTGAGTGCTGCAGGGTATTTTTTAGAATTCTCAAAAACACCCTGCGGCAAAGGACTACGTTCATGCAGTACTGTTGTTTTCTGTTGCTATATACTGACGGCATACCGCATGCCATGCCATGTAGTAGTGTTATCTGTTGCATGTACTGACACTGTACCACATGCCATGCAATAGCCTCTTCCTCCCCCTCCCCACAGTTCTCTTTACACCTGTTTCCCACAATCTCGCTTGTTGCTCTCCTCATGCTCCTCCCACTTCCACACCCTGCCACAACCCCTCACACCCCTCCACACCCACCCGCACCCCCACACCCCACCCTACACCCCACCCCACCCCACCCCGCATCCCAGGTACATGATGGACGAGTTGACTTTTGAGTCGACTCAAAAGTCACAACGACCGCCCCAACGTCCTTTTGTTGCTCTCCGTATTCTCCTTCCACACCCTCCTGCAACCCCTCACATTCCCACATACCCCCCCCACCCACTCCTTCCCCCCCAACCCCCATCAGGTACGTGATGGACGAGTTCGGCAGTGCCTTCTGGCACAGCGACCGCCCCAACTTCCGCTGTGCGCCCTTCCTCTTGACCACCTGCGCAAGCTGCCCGTGCCCTATCCCTGCGTCCCCATCCTCTCTCCCTTACCTCCTCTGCTCATCCTCTCTCCCTCTCCCCGCTTCGCCATCCTCTCCCCCCCCCCAGGTATGTGATGGACGAGTTCGGCAGTGCCTTCCGCCACAGCGACCGACCCAACTTCCGCTGTGCGCCCTTCCTCTTCCTGCCTGATGGCTCCTTCGCCTCTGCTGTCAGGTATGGGGCGGGTATAGATAAAGGTGCATTTTGTATGGTATGCCTTCCTTTCCTTCTAAACCAACTTCCGCTGTGCGCCCTTCCTCTTCCTGCCTGATGGCTCCTTCGCCTCTGCTGTCAGGTATGGGGCGGGTATAGTTAAAGGAGCATTTTGTATGGTATGCCTTCCTTTCCTTCTAAACCAACTTCCGCTGTGCGCCCTTCCTCTTCCTGCCTGATGGCTCCTTCGCCTCTGCTCTCAGGTGAGAGTGCGGTGTGCTCTCAGGTGAGAGTGCGGTGTGCTCTCAGGTGAGCCTGGGCCTGGGGGTGTAAATTGTCAGGTAATCTGTTGTCAGGTGGGTGTGGGTGTGCTGTCAGGTGAGCGTGGGGCTGTGCTGTCAGGTGAGCGTGGGGCTGTGCTGTCAGGTGAGCGTGGGGCTGTGCTGTCAGGTGGGAGCTGTAGTCCTTGCGAGTGATTTTTGAGAATTCTCAAAAATCACTCGCAATGGGTGTGGGGCTGTGGCTGTCAGGTGAGCGTGGGGATGCACTGTGGCTATCAGTGTGCTGGGTTTCTGGTAAGCCATCCTTCCTTCGAAACCAACTTCTGATGTGCGCTCTTCCTCTTCGTGGCACATTGCTCTTTCTCCTTTGCTGTCATTTTGTTGTCAGGTGGACTTTCTGTCAGGTGAATTTTCCCTCAGGTTGTTTGTTGGCCCAGAGCCTCCGATCTCCCCCCACCCACTCCCTCCTCCCTTCCTCATGCACTGCTGCCCCTCCCAGCTACTCACTCGTGTGGCCGCGGGCAGCAGTGCAGCAGGGAGAGGAATGTACGAGGGACTATCTCGCCGGGGTGGGGCAGGATTGCCTTCCTCTCATCGCCTCTCGTCTCACGCATTGCCCCTCCCTGCCCTCCCATACCTGCGCAGCTGCGCTCTCCTCTCTGCTCACATGGCTCCTCTCTGTTCTCCTCCCTTCCTCCAGCTACTCGCTGGTGTGGCCGCTGGCAGCAGTGCAGGCGGGGGAGGAGTGCACAAGGGATTATCTCGCCGGGGTGGGGGAGGAGCAGCAGCGCTCCGCCAAGCTTTCTGTTTGGTTTCACACACCCTCAAGCGCATTCCAGCAAGTACGGCATCTCTCTCGCTCCCTCCTCAACTCTCAAGTTACTTTTTCTCCCTTGTGCATCAAACGTAAGGGCAGCAGCAGCAGTCTCTCAGGCTGTCTCTGTGGCTCCACGCGCCCTCCACTGCTTCCAGCAAGTACACTAACTTTCACTGCTCCTTTCACTCCCTTGTAGTTTGAGCTCAAGGGCGCCGGCTACAGTTTCCGTGCAGTTCCTCACACCCACTCTCCCGCGTGCATTCTAGCCAATTCAAAGGGCGGCAGGGACCGTTTTTCACCACACAGGCCACGCCCCATCTTATCCCATTTCAAACCAAGCCTCCCTCAAAGCGCCTCTCCTCTTCCTCTCCTTTCACCTCTCATCATGTCATCACACTTCACCCACGCCATCCTATCCCACAACTCCATTCATCCCACCCCATCCCACTCCATCCCATCCCAACTCATCCCACCTCACGATACCCCTCTCCACCACGCCCCAGGCCTATGAGCAGCGCCTGTGCAGGTTCGCAGCAGCGTCTGCAAAGAACGCAGAGGCAACCGCTTTTCTTGCTTGTGCCGAACCCGACAATAAAGAGGACAACGCAGGAGGAGGAGAGGCTGGTGGAGCAACAGGCAAACCAGAGAAAGCAGACGAGCCGGAGAAGCTGGAAGCAGGGAAGCGGGTTTATCGAGTGTTCAGCGATCTTCCACACGTCCTCGACACACTCTCCCGCCCCGAATTCACTTTTGGTAAGTGCTTCAATCAAGTAGATGGGGGGAGCAGGGCAAGGCGGGGAAGCGAGTGTATCGAATCGAGTCCACAGCGGTCTGCCCCATATCCTTGACAACCTCTCCCGCCCTGACTTCACTTTTTGGTGAGTGAGTGAGTGACCGGGTCAGCCTTTGTGAAGCAATGTTAGCCAAGGGAGGGGCAAGCTGGGGAGCAATGTTAGCCAAGGGAGGGGCAAGCTGGGGAGCATCGCATGTGCTCTCTTCCGCATGTGTTCTCTTGAGGCGCCTCATCTCTTGAACGACCTGCTCCGGGCTCATGCTTGGTAAGTCGTTTATCTCTAGTTAGCCATCCCTAGCTAGCGATAGACGACCCACCAAGCATGTTAGCTTGCCCTCTATGCCGTACTCGCCACATACCTCTCTAGCGAGGCGACAGCTTTCTTTCCCAATATCTCTCAGAAGTTTTCCTTTTATCTTTCTTTCTTTGTGTGTGTTTGTATGCGTTGACGCTGTTCCTTTCACCATCGACCTTTTGTAAAAGAATTATTCACGCTATAGACACTCACTGTGCTCTCTCCCTTGTACACTGGAGTGCACTGGCGAGGCGGATATGATCTGGATGGGCTGGCTGGTGGACTTGCATTCAGTACAAGCAGGTGGACAATGTATTCAGAGAATCAAGGAAGGGAGGAGGAGGCGTCACAATTGAGTTGCTGCTCTCTCATCCCCCTTCCTTCCTCCCCAATTGATGCCCCCACTGAGGCAAATATTATCTGCCAGGTAAGCATTGTCTGATTGATGCGTTCAGATCAGAGAAGCAAGGGAGGAGTGGAGGAGCTATGTTAACTGGGCTCTCTCTTCTCCCTCCCCCACCCTTTATCCCCTCTTCCCCCTCCCCCAGTGGACGCCCCCAGCGAAGCAGACATCATATGGACGAGCATGCAGGTGGACGATGCTTTTCGAGAGGCTAGAGAGGTCATAGAGAGCCGTCAAAGATAGGTCTTCCCCCCTATCTTCCTTACCCCCCCCCCCCCCCCCCCCCCCCCCACACCCACCTCTTATCCTCTAGTTGACTCACCAAGCGAGCGGACATCATATGGACGAGGCGTTCAGAGAGGCGGCTGGGCTGAAGGAGAGGCGAAGCTGAATTCATGCTCGTGCTTCCCCTGTTCCCCAACCAACCGCCAAAACCTCCAACTGCCTTTCAGTTGACGCACCCAGCGAGGCGGACATCATCTGGACAAGCATACAGGTGGACGATGCGTTCAGAGATGCGGCTGGGCTGAAGGAGAGGCGGGAGAAGAGCGGGCAGGAGCCGTTGGTGAACCAGTTCCCGTTTGAGGCATGCATTGTGATGAAACATCATCTGGCGAAGACCATCCAGCAGGTGCGTGGTGGAGAGGCAAGGGAGGGCGGGGAGGGTGGAGAAGGTGGAGAGGGCGGGGAGGGCCAAGGGAGCGCCAAGGGAGAAGTGAGGGCCAAGAGGGAGCAAAATCCGTTTGAGGCATGCATTGTGATGAAACGCCACCTGCCACGGATGACTCAGCAGGTGGGATGGGAGGTGCATAATTGTTGAAGGGACAGAGAGGGCAGGGAGGGCAAAGGAGAGAATGGAGGGCAGGGAGGGCAAGGAGGGCTGGGAGGGCTGTGTTCATATGCATTCAGCATTACACACGATGCGCTTTGTACAATTCAGTCAGCGTCACATGCCATGTCTTTCACATAGTGCACTGTGCAGTCAGCTCAACATTTGCTCAGTACCTGATACCCCATATGCTTGTTGCATGCTGCCAGCTCAGTCTTTGATGCATGCAGAGGTGTTTGAAGGCCGTATTCTGTCCTGTTTGTTTCACCATCTTCTCGAATGCTGCCTCACGTGTGTGTGTGTGATAGTCTCTTTGCTACTCTCTCGCTATGTGCAGACATATGGCAACACGTGCTACTGGCTTCAATACACGTATCGCATGCACTCACAGTTGGCGGCACTGAGAGGATGCTGCATGGCTGTCTGCTCTCCGTCTCATGATGGCTCTTGCTCTGCTGCTGGCTCTTGCTCTGCTGCTGCTCTGTTGGTCCTCTGTTGTTGCTCTGCTGCTGCTCTGTTGGTCCTCTGTTGTTGCTCTGCTGCTGCTCTGTTGGTCCTCTGTTGTTGCTCTGCTGCTGCTCTGTTGGTCCTCTGTTGTTGCTCTTCCATGCAGGCGTACGGCAACACGCGCCCCTGGCTGCAAGACACGTACGACATGCAGTCGGAGCTGGCAGCGCTCATAGGGTGCTTCCAGCAGAGGGAGGCGGCGGAAGTTGCTGGTGCAGGGAGGCGACTGATTGCCAGCTATGAGGGCCGTGGGGCGCCTGAGAAGAATGAGGGTAAGTGAACATCGGAGCTGGCAGCGCTGATTGGATGCTTCCAGCAGAGGGAAGCGGCAGCTGCTGCAGCAGCAGGGAGGCGACTCATTGCTGGCTACGAGGGCAGAGAGGAGCCTGATAGTGACGCAGGTGAGAGGGCCATGAGCATTGAAGGCAGGAGACCTTGATTGCCATAGGGAGGTTCCAGGAAACGAAGGTTTTAAAATGTTGGTGCTTCAGGGAGGTGAGTTATTGCCGGCTATGAAGGCGGTGAGGCGCCTGAGATCCATGCAGGTCGGTGAGTTGTGCAAAATGAATGAATGAGTGAGTGATTGAGTGAGTGAGTGAGTGAGTGAGTGATTGCTGATGCTGCTGCAGGGAGGCGAGTGAGTGCCAGCGATGAAGGGGTGAGGCGCCTGAGAGCTATGAAGGTAGGGAAGAATTGTAATCAGGGAACGTCTGGGCACCCTCTCGCTGTACTCCCTCCTCCTCCTTGGATTTCTCCTCTGGTCCTCTCTCATCTGCCCACCTCTCTCCCCCTTTCATCCCACAGACCCCGATCTGGACAACACGTGGATCTTAAAGCCCTGGAATCTCGCGCGCAGCATGGATGCAACGGTGGCGCGCCAGCTGGCGCAGATCGTACGGCTGGCAGAGACCGGCCCCAAGGTGGCCCAGAAGTACATCTTCCGCCCCGCGCTCTTCCACGGGCGCAAGTTCGACCTGCGCTTCCTGCTGCTGCTCAAGAGACTCAAGCCGCTGGAGGTGTATCTCTCCGACGTGTTCTGGGTGAGTGTGCTGGGTTGAATGCTGCATGCTCTCTGCCTGCTGCTTGCTTTTTGCTGGCTGGTGTTGCTGTGAGGCCCCCCACAGCAAGGCAGAGACTGGGCCTAAGGGGAGGTCGAACTCAAGGCAGAGACCATTCGGCTGGCAGAGACCGGCCCCAAGGTGGCCCAGAAGTTCATCTCCCGCCCCGCGCTCTTCCACGGGAGGAAGTTCGACCTGCGCCTCCTGCTGCTGCTCAAGCGGCTCAAACCGCTGGAGGCATATCTCTCTGACGTCTTCTGGGTGAGTTGGGTGGTCCACTGGTGCTTGCTGGTTGGTCCTTGTCGCTGCCTGTTTGGTGTTGGGATGAAGCGCCCCACAGCATGGCAGACACGGGCGCAACAGCGAGGTGGGGACAAGGCAGGGCAGAGAGCGGCCCCAAGCTGTGCCAGAAGTACATTTCCCGCCTTCCACTCTTCCATGGGAGGATATTCGACCTGCGCTTCCCGCTGCTGCTCAAGCGGCTCAGGCCGCTGGAGGCATATCTCTCCGATGTGTTCTGGGTGAGTGGGTTGACGGGAGGAAGTGAGTTGGGTTGAATGCTGCCCGCTTGCCGCCTGCTGCTTGGTTGGCTGCTGCACTTTTCCACATGAGGAAGTTCGACCTGCGCTTCCTGCTCCTGCTCAAGAGACTCAAGCCGCTGGAGGCGTATTTATCGGACGTGCTCTGGGTGAGTGGGTCGGGCGGAGTGGAATGCTGCTTGCTTGTTGCTGTCTGCTGCCTGTTTCCTGCTGCACTCTTTGCCAACAAGACGTGTTCTCAAGCAAAAAACACTCTGCCGGACTCTCAACTTTATCAACTCGCCCTGTGCCTCCCATCTCTTGCATGGCTCATGTGACTCACCCCTCTTTGCTTGCACCGCCAGGCTCGCATCGCCAACAACAAGTATTCTCAAGCAGAGGACTCCCTGTCGGACTTCCAGACACACTTCACTGTCATGGTATGGTGCGGTGCAGTGTGGTGTGGTGTGTTGTGGTGTGGTGCGATACAGAATTGCTTCAGTCATGACACGTCATCACGGTACTGATTTATGCACATTCTGGTTGTGACACTCCATACTCCCTGATTCACATACACACACACAAACACACACACACACACACACACACACAAACACACACACACACACATACACACACATACACAAACACACACACACACACACACATACACACACAGCCACACACACACACACGTGGGCACACACACACACACACACACACACAAGCACACACACACACACACACACGTGGGCACACACGCACACACACAGCCACACACACACACACACATGCGCTCGCGCGCCCGCTTGCACATGCATCTGTGTGTCTCTCATGTCTCCATCCTCCCATCTCATTCTCCATCCTCCCATCTCATTCTCCATCCTCCCCTCCCTCTCTCCATCCTTCCATCCTGCTCTCATCAGAACAGCAGCAATCACAAGTATGAGAATATGCTTTTGTTGACATGCCATCCTTTCCCCTGTATCCCTCTCTCCATCCTCCCCTCTCTCCATCCTCCCCTCTCTCCATCCTTCCCTCTCTCCATCCTCCCCTCTCTCCATCCTCCCCTCTCTCCATCCTCCCCTCTCTCCATCCTCCCCTCTCTCCATCCTCCCCTCTCCATCCCCCCCTCTCTCCATTCCTCCCCCTCTCCATCCTCTCACACTCTCGTCAGAACTACAGTGGTCACAAGTATGAGCACGTTCCAACACACGAGTTTGTGCAGGCGTTTGAGCACGAGCACAGCGGTATGCATGGGTGACAGCATGGCGTGAATGGGGGATGGCGTGGTATGGATGGGCGATGGCATGGTATGCATGGTTGGTGAGATGGTATGTATGGGGTTTGACATGTCATGCATTCTGCTAATGGCATGCAACAGCTAACTGCACACATCCCCATGACACAGGAATACGCATGAAAGGAGCATATTTTCCCCCTCTCATCCCTCCTCCACTCGCTCTTTCCCCTCCAACTGTACCCAACTTGCATGCCTGCCGCTACAGTGACGTGGCAATCTATCGACCAATCAGTGCAGAGGATGCTGCGGGAGCTCCTGGCTGCTGCTGTCACCGTCCACCCCGAGATGCAACCAGATGACGACACCTGTCGAGCAATCTACGGTGTGGATGTGATGCTGGATGATCACTTCCAACCCAAGCTTCTAGAGGTTAGTCGTGCAATTACCGCCTCCTTCCCTGCTATTCAGCTTCCTAATGCCCTACATTTTGTAAAATTATCATGATTCTATTCTCCTTTATTATATATTGTTTTCTTTAGAATTTGCATATGTTATGCATTCATGTGGCGGTGTACAGGTAACATACTGCCCGGACTGCACGCGTGCTGTGACGTACGACATGAAGAGGATCTTCCCAAGGCCTACCGGCTCAGAGGGCAGTGCAGAAGCGGAAGATGAATCCGCGTGGCTGCGACCCAAAACCTTTTTCAACGATGTGTTTGGGTGCCTCTTCCTAGGAGAAACCCAGAACGTGCGGCGCTTGTGATGTGAACCCTTCCATCTAGTGGTCTCTTATATAGTTCTTTAGATGGTTGGGTAGATAACATTGTTTTTCCTAATCTCAGCACTTGTAGGTAGGTACCCGTGGTAGTAGGGTTGGTTGCCATGCCAGGAACTTTGCGAGATGGATAATAAATTTCAAGAAAACGGCAAGAGGAAGGCACCGTGCCCTTGAGCAGAACTGGTAACACAAACAATCAGCAATTATAACCACAACCAATCTCTCCTCCACACCATAATCCTCCAAACCACCATCACCACTACCCCAACAACTCCCCACATCACCATTTTATTGACAAAAAAAAAACAAGCAGATTTCACTATAACGATCAGAAAGGAGGCAATACAGTGGTACAGTAAAGGCGGCGCGCTGGGAAAACCCCCCCATGGCCCCCCTACCCCCCAATCCTCCTCACAACCCCTCACAGCCCCTCGAAGCGCCCTGGAAATTCCTGGGCATGGCTCATGCATGTCTACCCTACTCCCTATCATACCATATTCCTGCTTCTGCTTCTACTACGTGCTTCTACTTTGTGCTTCCGCACTTTGCCCCTGTCGCTGCTTTCCTCTCCCCTTCTCTGCCGGCCCCTGTCTCTCTTTTCTCTCTCTTTCTGTGTGTCCCTGCTTGTTTCTGTTTTCTCTTCCTGCCTACTACTAACCTACTCACTATTTCAGAATCTTATTCAGAACAATCCTAGAGCTTCCTATTCCATATCCTATTTCACTTTCATGACTGCATCTTCAGGCAAAACGCTTCACAAAGTCTTCACGGCGCCCCCACCCCAAGGAGAGACCGCGCCACCTGCGCAAGGAGGGTAGGGGCCGGGTGGGTGGGGTTGTGTGGCAGGTGTCAGGGGAAGGAATGGCAGGTGAGAGGTTTCAGAGGGGGAAAAGCAGAGACGGGGTTTCAGAGGACGGGGGTATGGCAGAAGCACGATTTCAGACGCGCCTTCAGAGGGCGAAAAACACGCTCTCACCAAATTGGGGAGACAGAAACTCAGTGCCGGGGGGGGGGGGGGGGGGGGGGTAACAGGAATTCAGGGGTTGTATATGTGATGATGTTACATACAACCATACATATCAGAGCATACCAATGACTTGCATTATCCTATCCTTCTCATCGCAACAAGAGAGATCGCAGTGGCTGGCACCGAAGAAAATGACACCTGCGCAAAGAAAGAGAGGGGGAGGCACTGTAGGTGAATGGGAGAGAGCAAGCAGCAACGACCCGACCCTCACCTGGCTGTGCCGAGCCTCTCACCTGGCTGCGCCCTGCCTCTCACCTGGCTGCGCCGAGCCTCTCACCTGGCTGTGCCGAGCCTCTCACTTGGCTGCGCCGAGCCTCTCACCTGGCTGTGCCGAGCCTCTCACCTGGCTGCGCCGAGCCTCTCACCTGGCTGTGCCGAGCCTCTCACCTGGCTGCGCCGAACCTCTCACCTGGCTGTGCCGAGCCTCTCACCTGGCTGTGCCGAGCCTCTCACCTGGCTGTGCCGAGCCTCTCACCTGGCTGCGCCGAGCCTCTCACCTGGCTGTGCCGAGCCTCTCACCTCGCTCTGCCGAGCCTCTCACCTCGCTCTGCCGAGCCTCTCACCTCGCTCTGCCGAGCCTCTCACCTCGCTCTGCCGAGCCTCTCACCTCGCTCTGCCAAGCCTCTCACCTCGCTCTGCCGAGCCTCTCACCTCGCTCTGCCGAGCCTCTCACCTCGCTCTGCCGAGCCTCTCACCTCGCTCTGCCGAGCCTCTCACCTCGCTCTGCTGAACCTCTCACCTGGATGGCAGGTGTGACGGGATGGCACACGGTTTAGCAATTGTGGCAGAGGTGAGTGCAGGGGAGCAGAGGTGAGTGCAGGGGAGCACTGGGGGAAGGTGAATAGAGGGGAGCAGTGGGAGAAGGTGAATACAAGGGATAAGGGGGGGATGGTGAATAGAGGGGAGCAGTGGGGGAAGGTGAATACAAGGGATAAGGGGGGGATGGTGAATAGAGGGGAGCGGAGGGTGAACAGTGGGGGGTGGGGAAACAGTGGGGTGAACAGTGAGGGATGGGGAAACAGCGGGGTGAACAGTGAGGGATGGGGAAACAACGGGGTGAACAGTGAGGGATGGGGAAACAATGGGGTGAACAGTGAGGGATGGGGAAACAGTGGGGGGTGAACAGTGAGGGACAGGGAAACAGCGGGGGTGAACAGTGAGGGACAGGGAAACAGTGAGGGGTGAACAGTGAGGGACAGGGAAACAGTGGGGGTGAACAGTGAGGGACAGGGAAACAGTGGGGGTGAACAGTGATGGACAGGGAAACAGTGGGGGTGAACAGTGAGGGACAGGGAAACAGTGGGGGTGAACAGTGAGGGATGTGAGGTGAGTGGGATGAATAGTGGGGAAAATGAGGTGAGTGGGGGAAAGCAAACGAGGTGAGTGAGGGAAAACAGAAAAGGAGGAAGGGCGGAACGACGGAGGGCGGAATGAGTAGGAAGGGCGGAAATCTGTAGCATAAGTAGCAATAGCTTCTATTGGGTGGAATGAGGAGGAAAGGCGGAACGAGGAAGGGCGGAATGAGGAGGAAAGGCGGAACGAGGAAGGGCGGAATGAGGAGGAAAGGCGGAACGAGGAAGGGCGGAATGAGGAGGATGGGCGGAATGAGGAGGAAAGGCGGAACGAGGAAGGGCGGAATGAGGAGGATGGGCGGAATGAGGAGGAAAGGCGGAACGAGGAAGGGCGGAATGAGGAGGATGGGCGGAATGAGGAGGATGGGCGGAATGAGGAGGAAAGGCGGAACGAGGAAGGGCGGAATGAGGAGGAAGGGCGAAATGAGGAGGAAGGACGGAATGAGGAGGAAGGGCGGAATGAGGAGGATGGGCGGAATGAGGAGGAAAGGCGGAACGAGGAAGGGCGGAATGAGGAGGAAGGGCGGAATGAGGAGGATGGGCGGAATGAAGTGGATGGGCGGAATGAGGAGGAAGGGCGGAATGAGGAGGAAGGGTGGAATGAGGAGTAAGCACGGAATGAGGGAGGGCGGAACGAGCAAGGGAGGGCGGAACGAGGAAGGGAGGGCGGAACGAGCAACGGAGGGCGGAACGAGCAAGGGAGGGCGAAACGAGCAAGGGAGGGCGGAACGAGGAAGCGATTTTCTCACCCTTATCCGAGTTCCCTAGCGACTTTCTTCGCCGCCCGCCGCATCGCGCTCGTTCCACTCAATCTTGAAGTAGCGCCCGTGACGTGGCGCACATCACGTTATCCTGTGACGCGCCCGTGACGCGGCGCACATCACGTCCTCCCGTGACGTGGCGCACATCACGTCCTCTCGTATCTAGCGCATGAGATTGGGAACCGTCAGCGCGCACTACCGCTACGAGCCGTGCGTAACCGAGCATGAAGGAGTGGAGGCGCAGAAAGGGCACACACCAGATGGCACTGCGTCCTTCCACTGCTCCTCTGCGTGTCCCGTTGCCGTCTCCTCCAGAGTCCTCTCATCCTGTCCTTGCTGACCCGGAGTCTGACTCTCTTCGTGCTGCCAGTCCTACTGTCACGCGTCTCCTCGCCACTGTTGTCACTGACCCTTCCTTTGAGTCCACTGCTGCGTCTGCCTTAGTTGCTGAGCTTGTCGAATTTGCTGCTCGCTGTCGTCTAGACTACGCCACTAATCTCGTTGCTGAGTCTGAGTCTGTCTGTCCTCCGTCCGTCGGGGGTGAGTGTGCTCTTAGCACGGACGTCCTTGAGGATAGGCAGGAGGAGTTCCATTGTTTTGCTGCTGCTTTGCCTCATCTCGTGTCCACGCTGATTGCCCCTGAGGGAGACCCGGATGCACCGGACATCCCGACTCCTCTATCGTACGCTGAGGCGATCGAGGGTCCCTACTCCTCTCAGTGGCAGTCAGCCATGGACGCAGAGATGGATTCCTGGAAGTCCACAGGCACCTACGTCGACGAGGTTCCCCCACCTGGGGCGAACATCGTTAGTGGCATGTGGATTTTCAGGGTGAAGCGGCCGCCGGGTGTCAGTAGATCTGCACTATGGATGCCCGATTGATCCTGGAGAGGGTTACAGGCGTGCTCGCCTGGGGGGTTATGGGCGCACTGACCCGCTACTGAAACAAGCCCTTTTATCCCAATGGTCTAGTGGTTGGGATTCTGACATGGTATCAGAGCTGTCTCGGGTTCGATTCTCGGTGTATGCACATGTAGGCCGTTGCCGCTGTGCTTAGTCCTGGGCCTCCCAGTGTGGGGGGGTGTCAGTAGATCTGCACCATGGATGCCCGATTGATCCTAGAGAGGGTTACAGGCGTGTTCGACTGGAGGGTTATGGGCGCACTGACCCGCTACTGAAACAAGCCCTTTTATCCCAATGGTCTAGTGGTTGGGATTCTGACACCGGGTTCTCCGCCTGTCTTCAAGGCGCGTTACGTGGCTCGATGCTTCAGTCAGTGGCAGGGAGTTGACTACTTTCAGACCTTCTCTCCCACCCCGAAGATGACCACTCTTCGGGTGCTGCTACACATAGCCGCTAAGCGCGACTACGAGCTTCACTATCTTGACTTCATCACAGCTTTCCTGCAGGGCAGCCTTCACGAGGAGATCTGGCTGCGCCGCCCACCTGGCTTCACTGGGTCGTTTCCTCCTGGTACCCAGTGGAGCCTCCGGCGGCCACTCTACCGTCTCCGCCAGGCGCCCCGTGAGTGGCACGACACACTGAGGACTACACTTGCGGCTCTTGGGTTTGCTCCTTCTACAGCCGACCCGTCGCTGTTTCTGCGCACCGACACCTCTTTGCCGCCGTTCTACATCCTCGTGTACGTCGACGACTTGGTCTTTGCCACTGCTGACACTACTGGACTCGCCCACGTGAAGTCTGAGCTGCAGAAGAGACACACGTGCACAGACCTGGGTGAACTGCGCAGCTACCTTGGCTTGCAGATCACCCGGGACAGAGCACAGCGCACCATTACCCTGACTCAGTCACACATGGTGCAGCAGGTCCTTCAGCGCTTCGACTT